GGGCAGAGGAGGATAAAATGTTTCAAAGTTAAACAGTGGTGATAACTGCACAACTGTGGGTATAGTAAAACAGTGGTGATAACTGCACAGCTGTGGGTATAGTAAAAACCACTAAATTGTATATTTTAAAAGGGGGAATTTTATGGTATATATGTTATATCTCAATGAATCTGTTATTGAGTATTGTTTATTTTTATTCATTTTTCTATTTGAGCTGACATTATATTTTTAAAATTAACTAGCCCTGGCCAGTGTGGCTCAGTTGGTTGAGTGTTGTCCTGTGCACCAAAGAGTTGCTGGTTCAATCCCAGCAACTGATCAACGTTTCTCTCTCACATCGATGTTTCTCTCCTGCTCCCACCCTAAAATCAATAATAAATAAGTAAATAAAAATTAATTAAAATTTGTAGGGCTTTGGTATCCTAAAAAAAAAGAAAGAAATGCTAAAGTTGACTCTAAAAATTACTCAGTGTAAGGGTGCTAGTGGTACAAATAACAGATGGGCATGTCTGGTAGAGAGAAAGGAAAGGACTTGACTGGGAGTAAAGCTTGCCTGATTTAGCGGAATTAAAGCAGAACTCCAGCAAATTTACTATTAAGATCAAGTGCGTCAGCTCACACCAACATTCATCACTTAAAAATACTTTAAACACTGAACAATATAATTTTGTCCAAGTAGAATAGTTAGCCAATTACCAAAAGAGAAAGGACATCTGAGGCATATGAATTTTCTGAGAGTATTGTTGGCTTTATTTGAGCATTTAAAAAGGGGGTGGGGTGGAGAGTTATTTTCTCATGCACAGTTAAATTAACAAGAGCAGTCTTAAAGTACCATGAAAGAAATTACGAAAAGCAGGTGTGGAGATTCATAGATCTCCATCAGAATGTATAAAAATGAAATAGTTCATATATATATGATTTCAGAGAAGAAGGGAGAGGAAGAGTTAGAAACATCAATGAGAGAGAAAAATTGATCAGCTGCTTCCTGCATGCCCCACACCACTGGTGATCGAGCCTGCAACCCGGGCATGTGCCCTTGACTGGAATCAAACCTGGGACCCTTCAGTCTGCAGGGTGACGCTCTATCCACTGTGCCAAACCAGCTAGGGCTAGTTTTTCTATTTTTAATTCAGTTTTCCATACCTTCGAACATGACAAAACCTTGTCAAACATATAAGGTATTCCTAGAATGATGGTATGTTACAAAATAGAAAATAAAACTGAAGAACAAATGCTTCATCGAGCCTATATCTGACATTCCAATTCAAGCCAAATAATGTTTGAAATACTAGCCAAGAAAAATAATTATCCTTGAATTTAAAAACCTATTGTACCTCCAGGTGTAATCACTGCCACATCTATCCAAGCTTAACTGCAAATCCCCTCGTTTCTTTAATCTCTTACAAAGCTTTCATAAAAAGCAAGTTTACCTTGACTGCCAAATAAAGATGTTTGGAGGGCTTCCCGTGCCTGTTTAACTATAGAATCAAATGTCAGAGACTTTAAAATTTATGTTATATTCTTAGCAAATGGACAAATGGGCCCATATTAATTATTTGGAGCAGGTAAAATGGTGGTGTGCTGCCTTGGCCTACACACCAAAGGGCTGTGGGTTCTATTCTCGGTCAAGAGCACATACCTGGGTTGCGGTTTCAATTCCCAGCCCCGGTTGGGGCTCATGCGGGAAGCAACCAATTGATGTGTCTCTCTCATATCGATTTCTCTCTTCCTTCTCTCTGCTCTCTCTCTCCCTCCATCCCATTCCCTCTAAAAATCAATGGAAAAAATAACCTCGGGTGAGGATTAACAAACAAACTAAAATATGGTGGTTTGTTACTTAGTTCCTAAAAGGAAATTAGATTTAAGAACTATGAACATTTTAATGGTGGTGGGGATACAATCAACTTCCCCTCCCCCACTTAAAAATTATGAATTACTTCATATAAGAAAAATTGAACTATTTCATACCCCGTAAGAAAGAAAAAATACTGAAACAACCTAAGTGTCCAATGACAGAGAAATGAATAAAGAAAATGTAGTGTATATGTATATACACACAAATATTACACACATAAATACATACACACACAATGGAATAAAAAAGAAGGAAATTCTACCATTTGTAACAATATAAAGTCCTGAGAACATGATGTTAAATGAAATAGGACAGAGAAATACAAATGCTATATACAATCTCACTTACATGTGGAATGTGTGTATTTTGAAACAGTTCTACCTTTCTCGCTTTTTCTCTTTCCTTTTCCTGGGCACATGTGTTTGTATCTGAAATGCCCAGAACATCACTGTATATCACAACTGTGACTTACTGACAGATTATCCTCTGGCACTGAACAGAGTTTGTGTGTAAATGTACCCACTCTTTATTAGCTTAATGCATGTTGAGGTGGGAGAGGCAGGGAAAGGTTCAGAGGTTGTTGTTTTTTTTGGTTTTTGTCTGAAAAACTTGTGCAAAGAAAATCTACATATGCAAACACAGGAAATGGGAAGTCTAATCTTGTAAACTGCCAGGCACATGAAATGGTCTATATTGTGCTCTGCTTACGTGACTGTTAGAGGCAAACTTGCTGAGAATTTTGTTTCTTCCTTTATATTTGGGGTTACAATTCTGTAGGTGTGGCTGGGAAGGATTTCATGTATGGAGTGAAATAAATGTGTGAACCCAGATCACAACAGAGATCAAAGTTCCATGCCTTTTGTAGTCTTGCGCACTCATTATGGCTTAACCTTAAATAACACTTCTTCTATGAAGTCTTCAAAAAACTCAGCAGATCAGATGATCTCTCTCTTAATTTTACAGTTTAAATTAACATATCTATATCACCTCTCTAATTATTTCTTAACTAGAGGCCCGGTGCACGAAATTCGTGCAACAGTAGGCCTTCCTCCCTCTGGCACCCAGGACCCAGGCTTCGCCGCAGCCTCTGCTTTGTTCAAAAGGTCAACTAGAAGGACGCCTGGTCTAATTAGCATATTATGCTTTTATTATTATAGATTCACCTCCTAGAAGGAAATGTTCAGGAGGATCAAATGTAGGTTACATATGCTTAATAATTAGTAAATATTTTAATTTTAAAAAGATTATGAAAAACCTTTAAACATAAGGTATGGTAGTGGTTCTCCTACTGTTTCACTGCAGCCTTTTCTGGTCTGGGTAAAGATGAAAGTGCAATAGCAATATGTGCAAATTAAAAAGGAGTGACAATATGAGAATACTGTACCTTTCGGGCCTTTCCCAGGTGTGGGTTCTACAGTGGTTTTGCTCCATATAAGTATAACTCCACCTGAGTCTCCAGTAAGAACATCTCCATTCCCCAAAAATGCTAAACACTGAACAAATTTTGGTTTTTCATATTTCTACAAAAAAAAAAAAAGAGAATTTTCAGTTTTCCCTTTGGCATGATGACTCCATGCTCACTCAACAATTAAATATTAAAGTTTTATAATGAAATTTATAATATTCTGGTCCTTACCCCAAAAATTCCCTGTTTTCTTGTTAGTGAATTGCCACTCCAGGTCCAGAAAAAAATATGAGATTTACCACATGTTATTATGGTATTTGCATCTGTTGGATGGAACTCCACAGCCAAAACAACTTCATTTGTTGTCTGTGGAAAAAGAAATAAAGCTTTAGATGAATGTATACTCTTATCTCCATCAAGTACCAATTACAGCTATGGATAAAGACAGGAAAAAATTTTAGGATCTATTTTCTTGAACATTTGTAACAATAAATTTTTATAATAATGATTTAAATTTGATGTCTTCATATTATTATATCATTTTTTATACTATTTATATATAACTAGAGGCCCGGTGCACGAAATTTGTGCAGGGCAGGGGGGGCCCCTCAGCCCAGCCTGCACCCTCTCCAATCCAGAACCCCTAACCACCTCTGCCTGCCAACCTGATCACCCCTGTCCCCCCCACCAGCATGATTGCCCCTTACTGCCTGCCCCTGTTGGCCTGGTCACCCCTTAGTGCCCCGCCCCTGCCGGCTTGGTCACCCCTTACTCCTCCCGCCGCCAGCCTGGTCACCCCCAACTGCCCCTCTTTGCCGCCTGGTCGCCCCACGCAGCCTGCTGTTCAATCATTTGGTCGTCCCTCACTAACCCCCTGCTGGCCTGGTTGCCCAAACAGCCTGCTTGTGCAGTCGTTTGGTCATCCCTCACTAACCCCCTCACCCCCCCCGCCCCCCGCCGGCCTGGTCGCCCCACACAACGTGCTGTTCAGTCATTTGGTCGTCCCTCACTAACCCCCCTGCCGGCCTGGTCGCCCCACGCAGCCTGGTGTTCAGTCGTTTGGTCATCCCTCACTAACCCTCCCTGTCAGCCTGGTCGCCCCACTCAGCCTATTCGGTTGTCTGTTCGGTTGTTTCGGATGTGACGGCCCCTGGATCTTTATATATATAGATAACTGCATTAGAAAGACATTTAAATGAATTAGTTTTAGATTATTTTAGTTTCTTACACATTTAGGGAAGAGTATACTAAAACTATCAAATATAAGAACAATATACATTTGTCTTCAAGATACTGCCATTTCAATTTTTAAAAAGTCTTATCTTTCTCTGTACTATTATTATTGACCACTCATTCATTTAAGAAAATTTATTACTGATTTAGAGATTCACTCTTAGGCTAAAAGCATATAGAATAGTCACTACTGAGTCATACAGAAATGAAAAACAAAAAACCCAAGAGCTTTTATGCCATTTCCCCAAAAAGAAAACTTAGAAATGATAGAAGTTTAAAACAACTAGGAGAAAAAAGGAATAGGCACAAGCGTCCAAAGGAATTACAAGTAGTTTTTTCACTGAAATTATTGAACTGAGGATGTCTTAAAAACACTACAATTCAATATGTTCAGTCAGTCATAACTGAGTTCTTACTAAATTGATGTTCTATGATAAAAGCAGCTACTCAAACTTAATGGTGAGGTGAAATCTATATGCTTGTGCAGCTGTTTGTTGGTAGCTGGTGCTCACCTACAAGGGTGATCACTAAGGTGTGTTTTATGTGTATGGAAGCATTTCTTCACTGCAAACCAATATGGTAAACATGGTAATCTTGTAAACAGAGTGAATTAAATACCTTTTATATTCTTATACTAATAAAATGACACTTGAAACAACTGAGCTAATTAAAAAAAAATTTCCCGCCAAAACCGGTTTGGCTCAGTGGGTAGAGTGTCGGCCTGCGGACTGAAAGGTCCAAGGTTCGATTCCGGTCAAGGGCATGTACCTGGGTTGCGGGCACATCCCTAGTGGGGGATGTGCAGGAGGCGGCTGATCGATGTTTCTGACTCTCTATCTCTCTCCCTTCCTCTCTGTAAAAAATCAATAAAATATATTTTAAAAAAAATTTCCCCCATGGCTTCAATTTTACCGTCAATTTTACATTTCTACTACCAACAGTTGGACGCTACAGCTTGTACAGGCACATGAATAAAACTCAAACAATCTAATCTGAATGCTTTCTCCCCCTATGAGGGAAAAGGACAGTACCCTTTTTTGTTATATAGTTTCCACAATGTTTGGTTGGAATTAGTAAGTCAAAGTAAATTTTAAAGATAATGTGTTAATTAACAACGAAAAAATTCGTCATCTTTCTTCCAGGATGATGTTGCCTTTTACTTTATTTTAATTAATTAATATATTTTTAAAGCTTTATTCTGACCAAGATCTCTGCCTGTCTTCCTAACTTCTTTTCTTTTAGTTGTTGTTAATCCTCACATGAGGATATTTTTCTATTAATTTTTAGAGAGAGGAAGGGAGGGGAAGAGACAGAGAAACATCGATGTGAGAGACACACATCAATTGGTTGCCTCCCGCATGCACCCCGATCAGGGTTGGGTTTCGAGCCTTCAACCAAGGTACATGCCCTTAGCTGAAATCAAACCCGAGACCCGCCTTAGCTGGTTTAGCTCAATGGACAGAGCATTGGCCTGTGGACTGAGGGGTCCCAGGTCAAGGGCATGTGCCCTGGTTGTGGGCTAGATCACCATTAGGGGGCGTGCAGGAGGCAGCCAATCAATGGATTCTCTCTCATCATTGATGTTTCTATCTCTCCCTCTCTTTCCTCTGGAATCTATAAAAATATATTTAAAACAAACAAAAAAAAACAACAATAAAAACTCCCCCGAGACTGATTGGGCATGAGAAACAAGGGAAAAGGAGTCATACCTATCTTTGGCAACTAAGTGGAATGTGGTGTTAATCACTGAAAGGTGAAACTGGTTGGGAGTTAAGGAAGATGATTAGTACAGATTTTGTTCTGTTCATTATGACTTGTGGGTTAGGATATTCAATTAAAGATGCCTGGCAGGCAACAAGAAATATGTTTAAATCTGTGAGAGATCTGGGCTGCAGGTAAATGATGGCGAACAGAACAAATAGTAACTAAGGCTATGGCAGCTGTATGTTGTCAATGGAGGACATAAGATATAATTCTGAATAACAACAACATTTAAACTCCTAGAAAGGAGATCTCTAACCTTTACTACAAAGGATCAAAATTCACATACTGCACTTTGGTATAACTTCCCTATGTTTCAATGTTAAATTATCCTGAATGATGGCTGAAAGACTATCTGTATCTTCATTTGTATTTTTTAAAGTTTGAGGTTTCTTATACTCTTTTTAAGTACAATAAAAAAGTTACGCTATCTGAAAACATAACCTCTTTTCGACCAACAAGCTGAAAGCTTGAAGCTTATACAGAACAAAACTGCCGAGACAGAGTGCGGGCGTGCGACTGAAGGGGAGTGTGATGTTATTTAAGAGTACAGCAAACATGTCATAGGCTTTTTTTAGTCATCCTGTCACTTTGAATCCCTCTGAAAGCCGGTCAGGAGGAGGCCATTTCTGACCCATGTGAATGCTGTTGTAATGCTAACCTTACATTCCTCTTTTACAAGTTACGACTGATCCACACTAAGGACCAACACTATTCTGTACCAATTATAAAATACCAGAGGCCCTGCGCACGATTAAATTGTGCGCGGTTAGGTTAGGATCCCTAGGCCTTGCTGCAATCAGGGCCGTGTCCACCGCCCAGCATTGCTCCTCCACCTCCGTGGCCCCTGCCCCATAAACCTCCACGCTCACAGCCCCCACCCTGCAAGGCTCCTTGGCCTCAGCCGCCCAAGCCCCGCGACACTCCTCCACCACCCGGTGAAGCTCAACGCTACCAGTCTCCGCCCCGCGAGGCTCCTCGGCCTCACTGCTGCCCACGCCCTGCGATGCTCTTCTGCCTCAGCAGCCCCGACCCCGCGAGGCTCCTCGGCCTCAGCCACCGCTGCAACGCTCCTTCGCCTCGCCGCCCTGAGAAGCTCCATGCTCACAGCCCCTGCCCTGCTCCTCCACCTCGCGTCCACCGCCCCTGCCCCGGGATGCTCCGCCTAAGCCACCCCGCGAAGGTCCATGCTCACAGCCCCTGGCCCCACCCCGCCACGCAGTGAGAGCAGGACCGGTCCTTTGGTCCTTTGGTTCCACAGTTCCCTCCTCCCGCCGCTGCCCTACGGGCGGCCAAGGGCCCACAGCTCCCACTCCCTCAGCTCCCTAGCCTGCTGTTTGGTTGTCCATCCAGTCGTGATGGCACCTGGCTTTTTATATATATTTGGATACTGCATCTTATGTAACATGAGTGGCCTGGTGAATGGATTCACGCACATTGAAAGGAAATTAATTAGAAGAAATACTTTATTATTGCTAATTGCCTTTTCTCTATAATACAGTGGTTCTCAACCTGTGGGTTGTGACCCCTTTGGGGGTTGAACGACCCTTTCACAGGGGTCGCCTAAGACCATTGGAAAATACATAATTACATATTGTTTTTGTGATTAGTCACTATGCTTTAATTATGTTCAATTTGTAACAATGAAATTGGGGGTCACAACATGAGGAACTGTATTAAAGGGTCGTGGCATTAGGAAGGTTGAGAACCACTGCTATAATAGAAGTGTCAGAGATGAAAAAAATTAGTAAAATGTATATGAAAATAATATAGAGTAATAAACAATAACAACGTAACAAAAAACATGATATAAAAACAACAAAAACATGATATAAAAACAACATTGATAAAAACAATGACTGGTAAATTGATTGAACTTATTCTAATATCTCCCCGTATACCACATTAGGAGGAAAAAGCACTTTCAGAGTGCTTGACCAATTTTCCTTGTGATAAAGTATTTACAACTTTAACATCACATACTCTTCGAACTCGAGAGAAAACAACATATAATTGACCATGTCCAAAAACAATACAAGAAGGCACTTCTTGTTCAAGTAGGAATATTCCTACTCCATCTAGTTTGTCCTTGTGATTTATTAATAGTCATCACAAATGCTGGCATCACGGGAAACTGTCTTCGAATTAATTTAAATGGGAGGCCAGTGTCAGATGGGGACAAATCAAATCTTGGAATCAGAACAACCTCTCCTTCCATAGATCCTGTTAATACTTCAGAGCTTTATATGTATTGCACATGCATGAGTCAACATTTTTAACCTAGAGGCCAGTTGGGGAGGAGGAGATATGTGGGAGGTGGGGCAGCTGGCCCTGCCCCCATTGGGCAGGTTGGCTGGTCGCAGTGCACAACAGGGTGACTGGTCGTACAGGTTGCTTGGCTTTTATATATATATATATACACACAGAGAGAGTGCCAGTGCGCATCATATGTACTGGCCAGTCGGTCAGACAGTCAGACAGATGTATGGTCAGTCACTTAGCCTTTTATATATATAGAAGATTATAACAATGCATATCATTACGTATGCTTTTCGGTTATGGCACCCATACTCCTACGATTGAAGTTTTCCTTTAAAATTTTTAAAGCTTAAATGAAATAATAGATTTTGTTTAAAAAGCAGCAGTAGTCGCCCTAGACAGTGTGGCTCAGTTGGTTGGGTGTCATTCCATGCACTGAAAGGTTGCCAGCTCAATTCCTGGTCAGAGCACATGTATGGGTTTCGGGTTTAATCCCTGGAAGGGGGCATAGAGGAGACAGCCATCGATGTTTTGCTCTCACATCAATGTTTCTTTCTCTCTCTGCCTTGCTCTCAAAATATCAATTAAAAAAATCTTAAAAAAAAAAAAAAGGCAGCAGTAGCCAAGTAGAGTACTGTCTTAATTTTGAGATTAAACATCCATCTACTTTGTCATTTCAGTAGCATAATGTGTTTGAAATATCACTAACATTGGTTGAAGTTGCTTGAATATTTTATCTTAAGATACCATAAGAATGGTATTCTTAATAGCATAAAATGACAACTTAATAAAGCTGATAATTTGGGCCAGTTAGTGTGCTCTTGCACATTAAGGATATGCAATATACTTCCAAGGATCTGCAAAACAAATAATGTATTCTAAAAGATAACAACTGAAACTTTTTTGGACTTACCTTTATTTCTGCTCCTTTTGACTTTTTCTGCCAATCCCACACAGTAAGCATATGTTCATTGGAGTCATCAATAACACATAAGTGAACACCTGAATCCTAAAGAAAAGTCAATTATAGGCATTTAAAATTTTTCAGATAAGGCTGACTTTCTAGGAACAAGTACCATATTATTAAAACAGTCAACATTAAGATAATCCAAAATCCTTTAAATGTATGATTCCTTGAAATATAGTGAATATGCTACTAAAACTGATTTTCTTCAGAAATATAAAAGATTCTTTTAAAAAATATTTTCGTTTTAATTTTTTCCCCTAAGTTGATTTCTACTTGCCATCTAGCCACTTTTATTCAGAGATAGCAAATAATTCATTTTGAGGATTGTCCCCTAGTCCCCTCTTGTCTTCTTGTATTTAAAGTATAGTCCCTAGCCAGTGGATAGAGCGTCGGCTTGTGAACTGAAGGGTTCCAGGTTCTATTCTGGTCAAGGTTACATGCCTGGGCTGCAGGTTCGATCTGCAGTAGGGGGCATGCAGGAGGCAGCCAATCAAGATCAATGATTCTTTCCCATCACTGATGTTTCTATCTCTCTCTCTCTCTCCCTTCCTCTCTGAAATCAATAAAAATATATAAAAAAATAAAAAATAAATTATAGTCTCTTGAGGTAGGCATGAAATGTATATAATTTTATAACTTTGTTCCTAACTTTTTGTAGTAGGTGAAACAAGCTAAAATTAATGGCCTGTTTTAAAGTTTGCCAATTTCAACTTTCCATGATATACATTAATATGAACAAACAAAATAAATAAAAGCATAATTAAATTCTTTTCTATTTATTTTTCCGGAATCGAACCTGGGACCCTTGAGTCCGCAGGTCGACGCTCTATCCACTGAGCCAAACCGGTTCGGCCCAACGTGATTTTCATTCACATAATTTAAGTCTCCCAGTTTAAGAAAAAAAAGAACTGAGGACCTTAAAAAATTATTTTTTCGCCCAGCTGGTGTGGCTCAGAGATTGAGCGTTGACCTATGAACCAGAAGGTCACAGTTCGATTCGCAGTCAAGGTTAATGCCCAGGTTTCGGACTCAGTCCCCCAGTAGGGGGTGTGCAGGAGGCAGCCAGTCAATGATTCACTCTCATCATTGATGTTTTTATCTCTCCCTTTCCTGCCTCTCTGAAGTCAATAAAAATATGTTTAAAAAAATTTGTTTTCTCTACTAGCATTTGCAGCATATACTTTAAATGTCTATGGAACAAAGAAATACTGTGATGAAGAGGAGAGGTACTGAGAAAGGTCAGAGTTTATTCTCTTCTCTTTATCTTTCTTTTAACCTGTACCAGAAGATTATCTAAACCAGGAAAAGTTAGAGTAGGAGGCAATCCAAGATAGTCTTAATATTTTAACAATATCAACAAGATGACAAAAGTTTCTGCTACAGAAATTTAAGTGGGGGGAAAAGGTAGCAAAAGTATTTCCTTTCTGTCCTGTCCTTTTATCTACTTTTCTAAATGCCTTTCTCCCAATTCCTGACTCATTTGACCCTTGACACTCAGTGCTTTCAAGGTAGCAAAATTCCCATATCCACCCAAATTTATCTTTTTGTTTTAAAAATATCCCTTCCTCTTCATGTCAAAAAAACCTCCCATAATCCAGAATATAGCTGCTGATACCTAGGAACTGAAGAGATTATATGAATACATTAATATATTCTAAAGTATGAATGGGACCCAGACCCAATAAAACATGGAGGGATATTTATATTTGAAACTAAAAATTATGGATCCTGTCCTAGTTAGTGTGGCTCAGCTGGTTGGAGCGTCATCCCATATACCGAAAGGTCGCAGGTTCAATTCCTGGTCAGGTCACATATCTAGGTTGTGGGTTTGATTCCTAGCCGAGGTGAGTATGAGAGGCAACCCATTGATGTTTTTCTCTCTCTGTAAAACGGAAAAAAAAAAAAAAAAATAGATGGAGCCTAAAATGTAGCTCTCCTACATTTAAATTAATATGTAGCTCTCCTACATTTAAATTAATATGAGCCCTAACTGGT